GGCTGCCGGTTGCCCCCAGACCCCGGTCCCTCGCAGCACCAGGGCAATCGCAGCCGTAGCGGGGACGGTCCGATGGACCTACGTCCCATTGCATGCTGTTTTAACGTGCTAAGGGAAGGGGGGGGAGTAGCAAGGGAGGTGCCTCTATACGTCTTTCAGCCATGGAATAACAGTGGCAGAGAGTAATCGAACAGGTAGGAAGGGCAATGGTAGGAAATGACTGTTTTCACCCAAAGAAAATTGGTGGAGATAAATACAATTATTGGCTCTCTCTGTCTCATCACGGCTGGTTGCTTTGAGTGGATGTGAGTTCCCAGAAGCAGCTTCTAACCTAACTGGTGGCCCTTGCAGATGGCCCAGGGTGTCCCAGGGGCTGAGAAAGTCAACACGCTATGCCTATATGGGGGAGAGCGCCCAAGCAGGAAGCTGGCCCAGATGTTGCCCTTGATACACTTGTCCCACGTGGAAGCTGGGGCCCCAGATGTCTCCCCAAACACCTTCTGCAAGCACTGCATCACGTCACCATGCTCTGAGAGGCGAGGAGGCAGCGGGGTGGCGGGGGGTGAACAGTCCCATAGGAAAGCTGGTGCTTCCTTGCAAGCTGCTCGTCTGGCTAAAACCCAGCTGTTACCAGACACACTCGACCTGTTCAAACCAAGGCACTTTTCGAAGCCTTCAGTGGTGGTTGCATCCTGTGCTGAGTGGATGGGAGCTGATCCCAAGTAGCTCCCTCAGGTTACTGGATTAGCTAACATCAGACTCGGGAGCATCTTTCCTTATGTCATCCACAAGTCCCACGGCCCTTTGTAAGCCTTTCTCCTCTGCCAGGGCAGATGAATGCCTACGTGGGTGTTCAACCATAGCCCAGAAGCTTGGGCTGTCTCCAAAGCTGCTTGGCCTCTCTGTTTCTCCTCTGATTGAAATGTCCTCTCTCTGGACTGTAATATCACCTCGGATCGTCAAAAATGCATTGCCTTTTTCAGTAAAGCGTTCGGAGTGGCAGGGGACCCTGGTGGGGCACGTGGCAGAAGCTTTGCAGACAGAACTGAGCACGCACACACTGCCCCGGAGGGTTTTTAACACGGTCCTGGGGCCTGGCCACCTCAGCTCACCCAGTTCCCATGCTCCCTCCCTGGCTCGTCCATCAGCTCTGGCCCTCAGCTTTCCCCTCCAGGCTCTTGCGTTGGGGATAACCTCCCTCCACAGCCGCTCGCGCAGCTGTGCCCAGCTGCAGCTGAGCGACGTTTGCACGTGCTCCCAGATTGCTGGGTGGGTTATGAAGAGCTAACCTTCAGCTGGTGCTTCCCCAGAAGAGCTGCTCTGCTTGTGTCCTTCTTCTTCCTCTTCTCTCCCAGCATGCTGCTGTACTTCTGACCTGCTCTGGGGTGACTTCTTCCACCACGGCTAACCCAGGTGAATACCTGTGGACACATCCCACCTGCAGGAAGGGCTGACAGGCGTGCATGTCTTGTATGCACAGCCCAAAGCACTTGCATGCTTTGCAGCCATGGTTTTGGGGCCTGTTGTAGCCTGTCTCTGTTTGTACGGTAGATTTGATATTGCCAGGAAACTGCATTCAGTGCTGGGTTTCACTCTTTGGTGAGTTACAAGCCCCTTCTCTCAGTCCTGGGGGTCTTGGGGTCTGCAGAGTCTCTGAGGCTCAGCAATTAGAAAATCCTGTGTTCCTGCTAGGCTGCTCTCCTTCTGCAAGCTGCCCAGGAGCAGAGGATAAGAGAATGAAGCCTGATGCTACAGACATGTGCCTCTGCTACCTCCCTGAGAGGGCCTATTCCCCTGGAGGAGGGTCTCTCCTCTCGCACACAGTCCCATCGCTTTTGTGCACTCTTGCCTGTGTTAGTTCTGTCTCTGCACAAAGTTGCAGCAGGCATGCAGATAATGTTTTATCACCCCCCACCCCGATGACCGTTGCCCATATGTTCTCCTGAGAGCTGTACCAGGGGTACAGGGGTAGAATGACCTATAGGAGAAAAAAAAATTAAAAAGTTGTCTATGGTGGCAAACCTGAAGGCCCAGAGAGTGTTGCATGGCCACCTGGAGATCTCAGTTCAGACCCACTTGCCCCCTTCCCCAGATAGGGCAGCTCCAGGTGAGGAGGGACAAGGCAGAAGAGTGGTCCTCCTCCCCATCCTGCTCTCCACCAGCCTATCTGGGGTGCTGCTTCTTGCAGGCATCTCCCAGACTGTGATGTGCTGGAGCAGGCTTGGCTTTTGGAGGACCCACCTACCAGAGCACTGGGTACCAGCTCAGTGCCCGGTCCCGTTCCTAAAGGAGGAAGGTGGCTGCTCTGGGCTCAGGCTGTGGCTGCACGGGACGGGTTTGGCTCTGCTGGCGGTGAGCTGCCCGGCATGACTGTGGCCTGATCCCTCACCCCTGCTGCCCCCACGGGTGCTGGCAGGGGGAGCAGCACAAATTTGGGGGTGACACGTCCCCCCGCGTCTGGCAGCAGCCGCTGGAGGTCACTGCTGGTCCGCAGCTCCGAGGTGCAGAGCCAGCCAGCGAGGCTGCGCCCGCCCCCGCCAA